TCCCTGGACAAACTGGGAACAGTCCCTGAATAATCTGGGAACAATCCTTGGATAAAATGGGAACACAACCTGGATAAAGTGGGAACAATCCTTTGAACAGTCCCTGGATAAACTGGGATTGGCACCTGAATAAAGTGGGAACAGTCCCTGGATAGACTGGGAACACAATCTGGATAAACTGGGAACAATCCCTGTATAAACTGGGAACAATCCTTGGACAAACTGGGAAAAGTCCCTGGATAAACCGGGAACAGTCCCTGAATAATCTGGGAACACAACCTGGATAAAGTGGGAACAATCCCTGGATAAAGTGGGAACAATCCTTGGAACAGTCCCTGGATAAATTGGGATTGATACCTGGATAAACTGGGAATTGTCCCTGAATAATCTGGGAACAATCCTTGGATAAAATGGGAACACAACCTGGATAAAGTGAGAACAATCCTTGGAACAGTCCCTGGATAAACTGGGATTGGCACCTGAATAAAGTGGGAACAGTCCCTGGATAGACTGGGAACACAATCTGGATAAACTGGGAACAATCCCTGGATAAAGTGGGAACAATCCTTGGACAAACTGGGAAAAGTCCCTGGATAAACTGGGATTGATATCGGGATAAAGTGAGAATAGTCCCTGGATAGACTGGGAACAATCCTTGGGATAAACTGGGAATTGTCCCTGGATAAAGTGGAAACAATCCCAGGATAAATTGGGATTGATACTGGATAAACTGGGAATTGTCCCTGGATAAAACAGGGAACAGTCCCTGGATAAACTGGGAACAATCCTTGGATAAACAGGGAATAGTCCCTGGATAAAGTGGGAACACAACCTGGATAAACTGGGAATAGTCCCTGGATAAATTGGGATTTGTCCCTGGATAAAACAAGGAACAGTCCCTGGATAAACTGGGAACAGAATCCTTGGACAAACTGGGAAGAATCCCTGGATAAACTGGGCAGAATCCCTGGACCCGGTGTGCTCCATACCTGGAATTCCAGCATGGATTTTCCCTTGTTGGACTCCAGCATGAAGCGGAATGCTCCGATCCCGGTGTTGGGATTATCTGCCTCCTCCCGGTTGCCCTGCCAAGAATTCCAGGCAGGAATTACCATTCCAACTCCAGTCACACCAGTCCTAATCCCAGAATTCCCACCTGGAGCTGTTCCAGCTGCCTCAGGATACACTTGGGATAACACCTGGAAAAACTGAGCTCTCCCAGCAGGAGGAATTCCAGGATAATTCCCCTGGGAATGGGATTTTCCTGGCAGTGATCCCAAAGTTCTCCCAACAAACCCTTTGGAGAGCACAGAGAGAATTCCCTGTGGGATCATCAGAGAGGGAAAAGGAGAAGATGAAGCTCCTGCTGAGACTGGAAGTACTGGAAAACCTTTGGATCTGGGAATATACACAGGGAACCAACTCCAAAACTTTGGATTTGAGACTTTTCCAGGAGCTCCAGTTGGGAAAACAAGTCCAAACCTTTGGATTTGAGGCTTTTCCAGGAGCTCCTTGCTTTGCCAGGAGCTCCAGTTGGGAAAACAAGTCCAAACCTTTGGATTTGAGGCTTTTCCAGGAGCTCCAGTTGGGAAAACAAGTCCAAACTTTTGGATTTGAGGCTTTTCCAGGAGCTCCCACTGGGAAAATGAGTCTCAACCTTTGGATCTGAAGGTTTTCCCCAGATTTTTCCCAGCAGTGATCCCAAAGTTCTCCCAACAA